TGGCACCGAAATTCAACTTTTTCTTATCTGCAAGCTAAGAAACGACATTTAGAACAATCCACTTAGACAAATCGTGTGAAGGTAGAACAAAGAAAAGAGATATTCAGTCACCTCATGTCTACCAGTAATAGACTACTAGTACATGTAGTAGTAGTAGTAGTAGTAGTAAGCCTTTATTTAAACTCGAAAGCTTGTGCGGTACATACATATGACCGCTTTTCAACAATGTCGAGGGTGAGGGCCGGGTCACGGATTACAAATCAAATCAAAATGACTATGCCGACGTTGTGTAACAATCATTTGCTACAATAGATATTCAAAGGATAGCTTTTTTTCAGTAGCTAGGGGGGCATGGCAGATAGTTGCATTTTAATCCTTAGGTTTGCTTATCTTTGTAATTTTTCTGTTCTGAACTTATCTTAAATGATGAATAATCTTCAAGATAATAATAAATAATTGTTAAGTTGATTTTTAAATCACTGATATTAGCTTGCTTTTTCGTTTCAACCTTGTCTCATTTTAACCTACGTTTTTAATGTCGGTTTGACCTTTTGTCGCTATGGGCCTTCGTAGTTTTAGCGCCACGCCCACTTCCAGCGTCAGCTTTCAAAATACCATGGAAACTAGCTGGAGATTGACAGGGGGTCACTTCTGCATATTAGGTTTTGTTAAGCCTTGTGTGGTGTACACTGGAGTGATTTTGACCACAAGAGAAATGAAAATTAAATGTTTTGTTGATTTATATATAGTACAATGTAAGTCCAACTCCTCTCTATTAAACCTAATGTTACCATAGTGCAGTTAAACATGCACACTAGAAAATTACTCTCCAAGCAGAGGTTTGGGGGTATTTTGGGCGTGTTTTTATACTTGTTTATCGGGGTTTCTCTTTTGCACCCAGGTTTGGTGAAAAAAATTCCAGTTCAAAAGAGAAACCCGGAGTAAAGTATAAAAACACGCCAAAAGTAACCCCAAACCCAAACCTCTGCTTGGAGAGTACTACTACTAGGAAATATAAACTAAGAAGAAATACCCAAAAGTAAACCACACAGAGGGATGAGACTTTAGTCTTCTTGCTTGCCGTAAAATTTATTCCATTTTGGACAAAAAAAATGTGCAGAAATAAGACAACAGCCCGGCTGTGATGACCTTAAAACCTACTCTGTTATTAAATCATAACAATTATTAATATGCACTTATATATCAATGGTGAAGCTTTCTTATATAATTGACCAATGGAGGCCATACATGTTACCAATAGCTTCCTTTTGCAAGTACATTCGCTATTCCAATATCTGTAGCATCTAGCCTGAGATCTTAATCCTTGTTGGGATTTTGTTGGCTCCATCCAGAGAGTTTCCAACACTTCCCTGCCTGAATGGGTTAGTTTTTAAGGACCAGGCACGGTTCTGGATAGTCTCTATTGTATCCAGAACTGTACCTATCTAGTTCTGTGCCTGAATGGGTTAGGGTTAGGATCAGGCACGGTTCTGGATAGTCTCTATTGTACCCAGAACTGTACCTATCTAGTTCTATGCCTGAATGGGTTAGTGTTAGGATCAGGCACGGTTCTGGATAGTCTCTATTGTACCCAGAACTGTACCTATCTAGATCTATGCCTGAATGGGTTAGGGTTAGGGTTAGGGTTAGGATCAGGCTCGGTTCTGGATAGTCTCTATTGCATCCAGAACCATGCCTATCTAGTTCTATGCCTGAATGGGTTAGGGTTAGGATCAGGCACGGTTCTGGATACATGTGGACTATGCCTTTGGATATATCACAGTTATGGATGCATTGCAAAATAGACATTTCAGAACCGTGCCTTTAAGCACAACCCTGACCCATTCAGACAGGTAGGGTTTGAAAACAGTTCTGTTTCGTACATACAACAAACAGTCCCCCTGAAAATGCCTTTTAAACTGGAGCAAACAAAATCCAAACAAAGAAGAATCTCAGAATGACAGCATTAATTTTTCTGTGTTAGTTTGATGCAGTACACGATTGTGCCGCGATACAAGACTCTAAAATTCCTATATATAACTCCAACATTTCCTTAAAGAAAACTTTCTTCAGCTCCGTCATAAGGCCACACCAATTTAATCTGTTGGTTCACGGATTTGCCTCTTCAAAAAAAAAGATTCTGGTTCTGAATCAATTCAAAATGCTCATATTTTGCCCCCAACAGTTGAAGAATGTCCTTTTCTTTCCTTGTTACAGTTTCCCATCTATCAATGCAGTGGTTTGATAAAAATTGAATTCGATTTAAAGTTCAAAATTCATTGTTTAAATATCAACCCAGCCTTTTGTGTTGACTTCATGCCTCCTATTGTAGCATTTGAAGCTATAAAAGGATGCCTAGACCTGTTTCTATCTTTTTACACCCTGTCACTTCATATTTTATCTGAAAAAAATCCGAGAACCAACACATCAAATTGGTGTGGCCTAAAGCAGCGTGACTTGCAGCCTATATATGGCAAAGCAGGTCCAAGATAAAATATCATGTAGACCACATTAAATCTTAATCTTCTGGTGTAGAGCAAAAACTTTTCTGCAGCGCTTGAGTGACAGTCATAATGATAATCATAGCTATCAGCAAAAATAGAGCAATCTCTAACAAAATCTAGTTAAATATGTTCTAGGCAATACATTTTAAAGTAACATATTGCAGTTCAACTACCTAGTACATGTACATTGAATACCATACAGTCGTACTGAAGACTGCACTACTTCCACAAGAATAGGCTCACACCCAATGATCCTAACTACTAGCCTCCAAAGCATGCCAAAAACTGGGGGTTTTGGGGTCTTCAGGGTCTTTGGGATCTTTTATGTGCTATTTTCTGATTGCATATAGACAACATAGCCGGCCTGGTTGAATTACCCCCGTTTTTTAGAACTGGGCTAATCAGAAAACAGCCGAAGACCACCAAACCCCCAGTTCTATAAGCCTGCTACGGAGGCTACCTAACTACTGCATTACATGCAAATGAAGAGTTTTGAAGTACATAAAAAGCAGGTACATGTACAAGAGTGTAGATATACATATAGCGCTAAGGCAGCAGTGACAATATTAGAGAATTAGGTGATAGCTAAAATATCTAAGCACAGAGGCATATCTAAGCACAGTCAAGACAGTGTTTACACATTTCTAAGAAATGACTAGCGCATTTTCTTTCTGACACTATGAAATTATGATGTATGCACTACAGATTTTAGGTACAAATACATTGTATATCTACTCATAGGTACCTTTTCTCCATTCATTCATATAAACTTGGCTAAATTTGTGACTTGCTCAACTTGATTGTCGGCGATTTGTCGCATTTCCAAAAATGTAAGAAACAGTTCAGAGTTGTTAAAAATCACAGGTTTTTCTGTGGTAGTAGTATCAGATATCAGTGTCAAGTTACAAACTTCTATTGTTACAAGTATGGGGGGGAGGGCGGCTCAAGGTCATAGCTTACAGACAAGGTCATTGCACAATGGTCACTTTAGGTTTCACTTCAAAGTCTTAAAATGTCAAGACAAGGTGCAACAACAGGAGGAATCTTGAGTCTTATACATAAGAAAGTCTTAGAAGGATCTATGGCTTCAAGGTCATGTCAAGGTGACTTATATCAAGGGCAAGGTGTGGCAAATCTTAAGGTACATACATGTAAGCACCTTGTACATAATGTCTATTACACATACTTTTCAAGTGTTCAATCCATACATTAAGTACTTTTTATGATCATTACAACAACAATATACCCAACACCAGTAACAGTTAAAGTCACACCACATAAAATTCTCCACTCAATGTGCCAGTGTTTGGAGAAAATGGAAAATACAATTTACAAGTTCCACATGGTACAAGCATTTGTGTGTACAATTCGAGCACAGAGACCATTGCAAATCCAAGAAACACGGAAATTCTATGCACAAACGTTTGTGTCGGAACAAATTTTTAGCTTGATCTTCTCTGTCTATATATTTTATAGTACCTGTAACAAGCATTGCGTTAAAATTGTGAAGGCAAGCAGTGGTCTAGTGTTTCCACGTTGTTCAATATTCGCAAGCTCCTAGCTGACACAGTAGTGGGAACTACCATCAATAACATGGCTACAGCTTTCTCCAAATCTTCCTCAAAACCTGTTATACGATATAAAAACCTTCCACAGCTTGTACTAGAGTCTAGGCCATATAATACTCAGCAAGGCCCTTAAGGCCACACCAATTTGATTTGTTGGTTCTCGGATTTTTTGAAAATATGGTTAACTGGAAAAACCTAATGATAGCAAAGTCAGTTTTATCATGGTTTTATGTAGTAAATACAGCCATATTCTAGTTTTCTTCCTAGCCCTCACATTTTATGATGTCTGCTTGCTATCTTTTGAACTAAAAATGTCCGAGAACCAACAAAGTGAATTGGTGTGGCCTAATGCAGTGATAAAATTTTCCTCTTTCAGTACAAGTAATTTAAAAGCTTCCTGTTACATAATAATGTGCAACATTTGTCCACATGTTTCTATAGTTATGATTTAAAACACGAGTTCCAGTTTCTTCATTTTCAGCCCAACAACAGATCCATTTAAGAAAATGGCAATTGCTTCAGCATGATTGTTGCAGCGGCAGTTTTCACTATGCTCAAAATGGTTCAAAAGTCTTACTTACGCTAGCTTAAAATCTGTTCTATCAGACTCCATATAAGTTGATAGAACAGTTACTTGCACATAGCATTGTATATAATTGATAAGCTTTACTGGCTTTGTTCAGGGTAAGAATTCTGTCTGTATCTATAGCACAGTTGCATGTAGTGTTGCCAACTGTACTATGAAGCACCCTAGCTTCCATAACATGCCCAAAACTGGGGGTTTTTGGGGGTCTTCAGGGTCTTTGGGAGCTTTTATGTGCTATTTTCTGATTGCATATAGACAACATAGCCGGCCTGGTTGAATTACATGTACCCCCGTTTTTTTAGAACTGGGCCAATCAGAAAACAGCCGAAGACCACCAAACCCCCAGTTCTATAAGCCTGCTACAGAGGCTAGACGCACCCTGCAGTTGTTGTTGTTGTTGTTGTTGTTGTTGTTTGTTGTTTGTTGCGGGCAGGACTAAAGCTCTGATCTGTAGCTGGACACAGATGAAGATCTGGAGAGGGAACCCATGTCTTGTTTTAACTCGAACCTGCGAAGAACAAGAAAACATTTTATAGCGTAGGGGGTCAAAATTATGGCGTAGGGGGTCAAAATTATAGTGTACTTTGCAATAGCTAGAACCCTGAGCCCTATATGGCAGAGATTGTCATTCTTGTATAGGACTATTCAGCCATAGCTGAAGCTGTAGGGCTATAGGATCTTACCATGGTCAATACTGAATGGAGGAGGCACCATATATACTACATTATCAAACTCTGCAGCAAGACTGTCAACTACATATTAGCTTATGATGCCATGCTTCTTTCTTGTCTCCCCAACAGCTGTATGTATTAACTACATGTACTTGAAAAAGCTAGAAGCAGTTGAGTTGTGAACCTTAGCATCAATTCTAATATGTCTGCCTGGAACCCTAAGCCAGCCACAAAAAAAGAAACAGTGGATTTAAAGCAATACAGCATCAGCATGCCTGTAGCCAGGAATTTGAAGGGGGGGGGGGGTTCTTCCCACTGTCTGACGGACCAGTGAGCGCTGAAGGCGCGAGGTTCCTAAGGGGGTCCGGGGGCATGCTCCCCCAGGAAATTTTGAAAAATGAACCAAATAGCATTTCCTGCGTTTTTTAGAGAGTTTCAAAGAAAAAATCTGAGATAACTTTTTTTGATGACAAACTTCACAAAGTGAGCCGTTTTCCTACGAGTCCAGCCCTGCTGGTGACACGAATCAGTCCATGTTTTAAAGAAAAATCTTGGACCTTTAGATAAAAAGTGGACCAAAAAGTGAACCTTTGAGCCTTGTGGGGGGGTTCGTCCAAACCCCCCAAACCCCCCCTGGCTACGGGCATGATCAGTAACACCACAAGTACATGTAGACACACTTCAGAAATCCAGATGTTTTTTTTTTTCAAGACAAAAGTGAAGATCTTGACACGGTGGACAGAGAACCCAGGTCTTGTTTCAACTCAAACCTGCAAATAAGGAAAAAATCTGATCATTTTCGAACATCATCAAGACCTACCCACTATCCACCCAAGGCTTCACGAGTTATGTTGTCACGGACAGTCATACAGAAAGACACACGACACTAAAAACATAACCTTCTTGGCAAAGGACTTACAACACAACAGCGAATCTAAAGAGATCAATTACCATCACTTTAAATTTTAAATTTAGCATTACTTTAAATTTATGTGGTAGACGTATCTAACATGTGCTGAATGTGAAAAAAAACTCACCATATCGGGTTGTTCTGTGTGGCCAGGTTGTCCACTTTAGACAGGTCCACTTCAACCTATGGACAAACAAACCGCATAGAATGTCATGTAATGTACTAGCATGAAAAGGACACTTGAGAAAGTATCCATTTTTGTTTAAGACAGATAAAAAAGGAAGACATACTCGCACCTGAATTAGTGAAACATACATGATTTTTTTCTAAGTCTTGGAAGGGAGGGAGGAAGGAAGGAAGGAAGGAAGGATGGAGGGAAGGAAGGAAGGAAGGGAGGAAGAAAGGAAGGAAAGATGGATAGATGCTTAGTAAGGGCTGAATGGTATGCTACAGTATAAAGGATGGAGGAAAAGATAGGAAGGATAGAAAGAAGGAATGAATGAAAGACTGACCCTCCCGAGAGTGCCCGTACTGTTTCCCCGTATGGTTTCGAACAGCGAGCGTTTGTTCTTGATGACGATGTCCAGACTTCTCTGTTTGGCCTCTGCAAGAGTCACAGGAAACTCCAACCTGAGAAAAAAAACACAATGCAGAGTTTTCAACTGTTCAACTTTAAAAAAATCTTTAAAATATCTAGAGAAGTAACATTACAATTTTTGAAAAGCAAAAAACATACATAATGTTTACCTTCACATGGTTCAGCCTAACATATACATAATTATGGTGACCACCCTCTCCAACACCGTCAAGGTGTCTGTTACAGCACCAGCTACCATGGTGACAGACGTCTGGTCCAGGTCATTAACCTTATTTGTTTGGAATGATAAGGAAGAAGAAATTTTTTCATTTCTTTCTACGAAGGCAAAGATAACAGAAAAATGTAAAGAAAACCCACGTCTCGTCCCAGGCCGGGTTGACGTTGTCCTTGACGACGGAGGTTTTCTTGCGACCGGAGCGGTTTTTGTCTGGCTGAAGGTAGATCCGGACGTATGGGTCACACATCTTCTGGTTCGCTAGCGGCATCAGGTTTCTGATGACATGAATAAAACATTAAATATTAATCTGAATCCAATCGTAAATATACAATGTAGTGGCCATACACATCTACGCACATACATGTATCTACACATTTTCTGGTTTGCTAGCGGCATCAGGTTTCTGGTGACATGAGCAAACACAACTCAACACACACTCACACACATACACATGCACACACACATACACGCACATATACACATACACACATACTTATGTAGCTTTGTGCACATGCACACAAACACAGCCATTCACACACACAAACACACACACTCACACATATATGCAGACACACAAACACACACACACACGCACGCACACACACGCATGCACACACACACACACACACACACACACACACACACACACACACACGACACACACACACACNCACACACACACACACACACA